AGAGAATTTGAAAGTCTACAAATCGTGATTCGGTCCGTGCAGGCAATTTTGGACCTATTTACTGGCCTGCAACCTTAATAGATCGAGAGTATGAACATGCATATAGTCAGGTGTCCGTTTAAAACGCCAGCATGTAACGTAGTGTATCATCGTTGTCAATACACCAAAAATGGAACACCGAAGATTTGCTCTTTTATCTGTTGTAGAGTTTGAAGAATTTCTCGATTCAGCTGATACACAGAATACTAAAAAGAGCGTGAAATTCTCCAGTTATCGCATGGACAGAGGCACAACATTATCGGCAGAGCAGGAAAAAAAACGCAGCTCTCGATGACTGTCTGCGGAGGTCCTACACGGAAGTACGTCAGGTTGACGGTAATTATACAAACAATGCACTCTATCAGGTATGATTTACAGAAGCATTTCAAAGACACAAAAAGCAATTCAGTCGACATTATGAAGGATCAAGCATTTGAGCGATCCAATAGGTGCTTCAAAGCAGTTTTCGTTCACTTGAAAAGAAAAACTGGAAAGGGGTAGGCCCTATGTGGAACATAAAAATCCCGTTACTCCAGAGGACATGGGCAAAATAAATGCTTCACCTGTAACGAATATCGCAACACCAGCTGGTCCTCAGAACAAGGTGTTCATAGACATTATAATTTATTTCTGCAATTGAGGCATGGAAAATATAAGAGACATGAAAAAGACGGACGTCAAAATACATAGTGATTCCAACGAGCTGCAGTACATCACAAAACGTGATCACCGACGGAAAATAACAGGGAAAATGACAAAAGCCAAGTACATCACACGTATGAAGTGCCCAGGAACCCCCGTTGTCCTGTCAACACATTTCTCCTGCACACACAGAAGCTGCATCCCAACTGTGAGTATCTCTTTGGTAAAGACCAAAAGACAACTTTGCACCAGCTCAGACACATTGTATCGTAATGCACCCCTTGGAAAAAAACACTGTCCAACAAACTGAAGGTTATTTCCATGGAAGCACAATGTGGCAAGGTGTATACATGTACTAACCATTGCTTCAGAGCTACAAGCGTCACAATTCTTAAAATGCTGGCTTCGAATCCAGGGTCATCACGAATGTTTCACGCCATCACCCAGAAACAAACATCAAGAAATACAGCCACACCAGTAAGAACAAGAAATGTAATATGAGTGCTGTTCCAACTACTGCTTTGAACTCTGAACAGTCTGTTGCTTAAAGAGCACCTCTAAGGAAAACACGTTTTCTGATTTTATCTGTTCAAATAAATATGGAAGCGTCCAAATCGAGTGCAATATCACTTGTCTTTAGAGCTCAACTATAGCAAGCTTAAAAGGGTTTTTTTCTGTTCATGCCAAGATGCGAATTCTGTTTCGATTGCGTAATTCGGAAAGAACAGAGAAAACGAGGGGAACCCTCCCCGTGTTCGTTGTGGGTAAACCCTGTGCATGCCAAATAATGCATGTACCCATTGTTTGGCATGCCCAAGGGCTTATACACTATCTCCATGGATCACATCGGGAGGCTAGTTTTACTATAGCACTCGAAACAGTCAATATTTGTATACCATTCTCCTGAGCTGGTCTATAAACGCTCGTTTGAGACCGGCCAAGCACATTCCCTTATTAACGGTGTAATATGTCGAGATCACGAGCATAGACTTGCTAGAACTGGTTTTAACTGGTGTATTACAAGCGAATTTCTACTCAAGGATTCCAAATAGTTACTGCTCAAAGGTATTTATCCTCTAATTTCATAAATGAGAGAATCTTCAAAACAGTAGAACTGATCCTTAAAATTTTGACAAATGTCACAAATTTCGTCTGTCACTCCTTCTGTCCTGTCACATGCCAGTCTAACTGAAAATAAGCCCTTTTCTGTACACAAAATGTTCCCAATATCACTCTGCACACTTGTGGGCGTAAATCCTTGTGGGGCTGGGGTTCATATGCATCCTTTGGTTTCTGACCGAGGGTGGGATATTGAATCATTCCCCTTCTTTTTTTCATGGTGAAAGAAAAATGAGGCGTAATGTGAGGAACGTGTTTAATGTATTTAAAACCACCCACATAGTGTAACAATTTATTTCAAAAGCCATAAAAACGCCGTTTGATGTGAGGTCATGCAGGATATTAAACCCGTACATCTGTATCATGGGCATCGCCCCGCAATGCCATATGGTGTCAGTAGCCCCCCCCCCATACACTTTCATGGCCGGGCAAGTCATCCCCTAGTCACTTCAAAGCACCAGTTTACGCCAGAATGCGCCCTCCCTCATCATACTGCACCAACGTAAAATATTTTGGGTTTTTAAAAGGGGTAATCCTACTCTAATGGGTTAATAATAATTGTGGCAAAAGCATAGTGATAATAGATTCACTTCTTGGGTTACATTTAACGGTCACGCATCATGAGTAACACGGCGTTGAAATTGTGGTTCTAAACTGTGCTTGTTTAGCCTTCAAACTACAAAAACTCGAAACAGCTTTGTGTTTGAATATAGGATTAAAATATTTGTGTATCTTTATCAGATATCTTTTTATTTCATGAACCATCCCCCTTTAAGAAAGTTCACACCGACGGCGTATGGTGCCTACAGCTCGTCTTACCGCAAACTCTCCAACTCGGAAATTGAATCCTTTCAGCCGAATCCCGCATGCTGTGTAGCGGGACGCTGACAATTTTGTTGTCAAATGACCCCACTCCAAGAAATTGCAGAGGGTGGGGTGACCTTGGGTGATTCATAGCTATCGCGTTTGTGATAGAGCTCTTAAAGGCGATTCCGAGCAGCGTTTAGACGATGGGCTGGTGCACCATCTTCAACCCACCACATATTACGAAGCACTAGAAGTGGTTCTCCATCCGTGACACAAATTTACTGATCATTTTTAAATAGGTCAGATTACTGATATTTCGCTGGAAAAATGATAACGCGATTGCCCCACATCCCATCTAGAAAACCAATTTCTCCCGGCTCATCTTTGTTTCAGCACCAAGGAATGGTGGTTGCCCAGCTTTGGCGTAGTGAACATCATTGTAGCCTGTTGATCTCACCATTCACTGCAAACAAGCCTCATCGGAGACCCTGACAATGTGAAGAAATCTCGGATCTCACTCCCACAACTCAAGAGTCCATTTACAAAAAGTCTGTCTTTCTGCAAGATCAGTTCAGAACGGATGTGGATGCGGAACGGGTGGAAACGAAGATCAAGTTCAATTTTGCACCACGTTCACAAAACTGGTGCTCAATGGTGCATAATCCCGGAATGTAACCCAAGGTATCATTTAAATGCATGAAACTAGTAGCAAGTCGTTCAGCTTTAAGATGGCACCATTCACATTACGGCCATATTATTCACCTTTGAGAAACGCCTCTTGAAACACCCTGTAATACCGACTTAAATTGCAACAATGGAGTTGGAAACTTCCAGGAATTTCATCTCTTAGCAAGCCAACTTCGAAAAAACAGAGGCCTGTCATCTAAGATGGCACTATTTGCGTACATAGAGGAACGAGTACGCATTCTGGTGCTCGTGTGATTCTTACAACTCAGTATTTGCAGCTTGCACAGCTGTAGTCGGAGGCAGAGGAGAGTGAAGTAAAGTGGAACTTAAGCAAAGAGGAACCAGTTTGATATCTTGAAACTGACACTCTGCCTTCTAAAGTTGATATCATGCTGCTATTTTGTACCAACTAAAAGGTCACTGCAGTCTTTCCGTAAGTCTGGCCTCATTGAGATGTTTAATTTCTCGTTTCATTTGTCATATGAAATTAGGATAACTGGTACAAACTATAGCCTTGGCAAAGTGCAAGTTGAATGTAATAGCATGGCACTGTTGATGGCACTGTTACGTGGGCGTATTATTCAGTTGTGGAGCCTGCATAAATCTGTACATAATCGGTGAAATCCTTGTCGCCGGTAACAGATTGAGGCCACAACCTAAATTTACTACATTAAGTTCAGAGTTATTAGTATGATGACTTTTTTTGTTGAATGTTAGACCTGCAACGAATGACTGCGCTGACGTGTGACAAGTTTAATAAAGCATGCGGGAGTATTATCTGGAGCAACCCAGCTTAGCGGCGCCGCCGCCATCCTCCCTGTATACTGCTCAATGCCCGGCCCCTTGTAAGTATACCGACGACTGGCTGACTGGAAAAGGGGATGGTTAAACGTCTGAAAAGTGCAAATTTTGTGCGAGACTCACGCTTCGCCACGGAGCTCGAAAGAAGCGGTAATGTTGCCACAGGCTGCAACACTGGACTATTCCATTATCTTCGGGTTATCAGTGATGTTTCCACGTGTCGTAAACTCTTTTTCCATTAGAGAACTTGAATTTCAAACCAATTTAAATTTTCCTTTACCATTCTATTCAAATACGATTACATTTTTATTTTGCCATTTGATAATGCGTTTGGGTGTACCGAAGACACGTCATCGTTCCCTGTTAATATAGATTCGTCCAATAGCTAAATTTACCGCGTCGGTTAACGATTGTGACATTCAAACGAGTCTGATTCCCCAATTAAACATACCCTAACAAAGTACAGTGCCCATTGTATTAAAGGGGCTTCGCAAGACAATAAAATGTTTTCCACAGCCCAAGTTGGTGGGGTACAACGACATTCTCAAACTCCCTTCCCTGTTCCAATATGCCTCCAGGCTGTTAATTGTTTCTCGACTCGATAGTTCCTAACCCCCTGCCAAAAACCGTCCACGCCTCCCCACACCCCTTGAAATGTAGGTTAGATAGGCGAATGTCGTGCAAAGCTGCTGACCATACCCTGTGAGTGCACGCAATGTACAGGTGAACATTTTTTCATTAGAATATATTATTATTGTATTAATTATAAATTATAATTGTAACACGTTGTACTAGATCTTTTTTTTTTATTTTCTTATTTAGAAGCAGGCTACGCACACATACACCATACATTCGTATGAGTGTGGTTTACAGGTGCAAAATCCCCGTAGAAAATACTAGCTCAATCTATTTAAACAAGGTTGAAACCATTTCAAAAATATTTAGCATACCATTGTTGTGTATTGCCCTCTGGCGGGTCATGAGTTCCAAGGGATACAGCTGCACATGTGCACCATCAGTAACGCTCGCAGTGTGAAAAGACCAGGCGTCAAATCAACAAAAGTTGACACAGAAGTGCTAGAAATCTACCTGGTTTTCGCTACAAACCTGAGAAAATCTCTGCTTACCAATGTTGGAAAGTGATAAAGACAAATACACTGCCAATGGCACATAAAAACAAGAAACGACGAATACAAAAAAATTTCCGGCACATACCTCTGTTGCATCTTTTGATTTTCTTGCTAATCACCACAAGTCAACTTAAGATTAGTACATGTATATTTAGACTGGTACACCTGAGGTTGTTACATTCTACCATGAATCGCCGAATAGTTGTGGCCTCCCTTATGAATCACCGTTAATAAAGGAAGGTTCTGCAGCTAAATGGCCATGCTATCCGCTCCGAACCCAACAAGAGGGTGTGTGTTTTTGGCAGTCACAGCATAAGCGCGCGTTTATAATGGAGATCAATGGCGCGTTCTCAACGCGGAGCACGCTGAGTACGCGTAACAAATATATTCCTTAATGTGTGGTCTGCGCGTTCATGCAGAAAGCCTGCAAGAACCCGCTCGGAAAACTTAGAACCGTCTTTCTTTCTTTGGACGCTTTGGGGGTGCACTTCAACTCGGGGCAGATTAGGATGAAGATAAGGTACATGTCCATTGTATAATAGTAAGTAAATGAAAATGCTAATTCGACCAGCTGTTTCATTTCTATAAAGGGGATGTTTTTACATGGCATTCTGCTGTAAAGTGAATCTGGTGCATCATTCGCAAACATAATTCAGCCTTTTGGGGTTTTGTTCAACCATCCACCAATTCTGAGACGCCCATGTGCATGAATTTGACCAGGTTTTACATTTTGTCATGTTTCATCATGTTTGATTTTAATATACAATTTAGTTCGACCAGGAAAACTTGTTTACAAGCACATTTGCTGCACTTGAAGAAATTCAGTGATGAGAGTGCTTAAATGAGAGTGGACAGTCAATGGGCTCCTATGACCGAAAGCTGTGAACATGTGCCCTTGATAGGGATATGAAAAATGTCTTCAAAAATTTCCAGATTTTCCATTTGAAACAAGTTAGTACAGGAAAACAAAATGTCCGTTATCAAAAGCGACTACTGCAATTTCACCACAAAGATTAGCAGCCCATGTGAAAGTCTGCATACATCAGGCTGGTGTATACATGTGTAGCTTATCAGAAGACAAACCCACTGTATATGACAGACGTGCATTGAATCACACTGTACAAAGGGTGTGCATGCTCTACAATGTTAAAGTATACCGAGCACAGATATTCACGTGAATCAATATGCAAAGGTGTTCAGGCAAGTCACACTTTGAGAATTGTGCTGCACTTATTGCCCATACACAAAATGTGATGATGCCTTCACTATTCTTTCCTTTTCCCCCCACTGCCCAATTACATTAAATTTTGTGTGGAAAACAAATACACTTTGAGGTGTATAAAATTGCATATACTTCACTCTGCCCACGGGTGCAAGTACAAGGTTAATACTGCAGAGCAATGTTCAATGTGAGTTCATGCTCAAGATACCCTGTGTCACACCAAAATTGCTGATAAGTGCACAATCATTTGGCCATTGATAGGGTGTACACTGTGTAGATGTGTGCTTACGGATTAACAAGTGCAAACCCATATAAAGTGCTGGCTAAATCGTGCAAAAAAATGTGAAAGAGCTTTCAGTGCCTCCAAATCTATACAAAGGCTCCAAATGCTGAAGTATAAAACTCATAATTGGACCCCTTGTATTAAAATGATGCATTGGCAACCCCAATAGTTTTGGCAATTATTACGGTATTAGTATTCCATGGACTGGTTTAGGCAATTATCTCCAGTTACACTTGTGAGCATACATATGTAGCTTGTCAATTTTAAAGACTGCAAAAGGGATAAAGGATGAAGATTTTTAAAAATACTATTTTGCCCACTGCAAGAGTCCTTCCCCTTAAAAAATGAATAGCTGCAACTACAAGGCCTTCCCTCTACAACTGCAAGAAACACTCATGGAAAGAAACAAAGAAACAATGGTGTAATGGAAAAGAAAAGAAGATGAATTACAGTATGTGCAAGGAAATATGCCACAGCAAAATATAACTGAATAAAAATGGTGATATAAAGAAACATACAACTCTCTTTAACTCATACTTTGAATTGAAATTTAATCCCTAGAGCTATTAAAAACTGGAATAACCGACTTTGAAAATTAATTTAGTGTATCATCTAGAGACATTTCTCCCTATACACTGCCGTCTCCCTATTACTAAATTAACCCTATCAATACTAATATACTGATTGAAACATAACAGATATTTCAAACAGACAACCCAAACAAATACAGATGAAAACAATCTCACGAATGAATCAACCACAAATCTCGTTTTTCTGGTTTTCCGAAAATTTCATTCACATGCAGTTTCAACAGCTACACTTTGATCAAATTTGACTTTCCTACATTAACAATTAGGCAATAAATTAAGAGGGCTCTGCATGTGAAAATCTATGAAAAACCAGCCAATGCCTTTGAGCTTTAGATATCACAATTACCATCCAAACCAAAGGCAAGTTCCCACAAAACAAAATAAAAGTTTACTCACACCCTGAAAAACATTTCGGGTAATTTAAAAGTCAATTGCATGCTGGTTAGTTTGTGCTCAAAAACATTAATGGGTTATTAAACGTTATAGTGAAAATCCTACTACCAAAAGCAAAGGCAGATGAAGAACCAAATGGTGGGGGTGCAAACTTGTTTGGGGAAAGCCCCAAAACTTGGAAATTTCTCATGGACTTTCTTAGAGGTGAGGCTTCATTGTCATTTTCACAACAATAAAACACCTTCTCCCCAAAAAGTTGCCTCCTTCTTATTTTATACAGGAGGCCCCGAAGGGGGCATAGCTCTCCCTGGATCCAGCCTTAATGTTTGTAGCCTCAAATGTACAAAAGAGTGACATTCAAATTTTGATGGGGTTCTCACACAAATCAAAGAGTGGCTTTCATGCAGACAAGGAAAATAATTTCAAAACAAAAAAATGATTGATTTCTTTTGAAAACCAACCTCATACCTGCATGATATGCCCAGACCATAGACAATCCAACACAAAAGACAGAATTATACATATGACACACATCACAAAACTCCATCACCAACTTTCACTAAAAAAATGTCTGAAAGCAACAAACCTGCCGAAACAGTAATGGTTGAACCATCAACGGTAGATGTTTCTATGGCTGATGTTGTAAGACCTCCTAAGGTAGTTTTCTGTGAAGTGGTGAACTCAGCCACAGTGGTCTCAGCAGCAAAAGTTGTCTTCACAGCCGCAGTGGTTGGTTTTCGTGTTGTTGTCCGTGTGTTTAATGTAGTCACATCACCCACAGTTGTCTCCTCCACTATTGTTGTCTCCCCAGCTCCATTTGTCTGTTGGGCTGTGGTGATCACTGTGTCTATTGTTGTACCATCAGCCAAAGTTGTCTTCACAACTTCAGCTGCAGTAGTTGGTAGGGCTGTGGTTGTCTGCGCCTCTACAGTGGTACCATCAGCCACTGTTGTCTCCACCACTAATGTTGTCTCAGCAGCTGCAGAGGACGGTTGGTCTGTGGTTGTCTGTGTGTCTGATGTCGTGACATCCGCAACAGTAGTCTCAACCACTTTTGTTGTCTCTGCATCTGCAGAGGTCAGTTGGGCAGTGGTTGTCTGAGCCACATGAGTCGTAACATCAGAGACGGTTGTCTGTACCACAGTTGTTGTCTCTGCAGCTACAGTAGTCTGTTGAGCAGTGGTGGTCTCTATCTCTGATATCGTACTGTCATCCACAGTTGTCTCCACCACTAATGTAGTCTTTGCAGCTACAGTGGTTTGTTGGGCAGCGGTGGTCTCTATTTTTGTTGTAACATCAGCCAGAGTTGTCTCCACCCCTGTTGTTGTTTCAGTAGCTGCACTAGTTGGTTTTTGTGTGGTAGTCTGTGTGTCTAATGTCGTACCGTCAGCCACAGTTGTCTCCACCACTGTTGTTGTCTCA